TGAATCCGGTGTAATCCACCTGCGCTTACAGTACACGAACGTCAATAATGAGAAGGTCAACAATTAATCCACCTAACTAATCCAGAATCCAGGTTTTCATAGATTCATGCAATAAGTGTTTTTCACCGTCTTGTGTTGCTGGAATGGACGTTGTGTTGGTGAGGGAAGATTAAAAGGACAGATAGTTGTTCATGATGAGGCGAAAGTAAGATTGACAGCTGCAGGGAAAGCAATTAGCAAATGTGTCCTTAAGAATGACAAAACTTACACACACGCCAAGTCGTCCTCTACATCTTGATAACAATCCCAGGTGATCCATCTAATAAGAACCTCCACATAAACCTAACCTAACCCCACCTAACCAAACCTAACCCCCACCTACCCCAGCTTACCTAACCTAACCCCACCCACCCAAGAGATAACCACACAGACCAACCACTCCATCACCCCCAGGCCTCTCTTGTACTTGTTCCAGCTCAATACAAACCCTCCACAAGTGCCTCATTTGGCTCTCGGCAACTTTGTAGTTATCCGGCTTAATCCATCAACACCAACGTCAATAACTAACCTAACCTAACCTAACCTAACCTAACCTAACCTCCTGCCAATCCAGAAACAAGTCTACCTTACCCCAACACAACATGCCCGCGAGCTACCCCTCTCATTCCAGCTAAATGTCCACTCATGTGACTGAAGCCATGATACAAGAATCACAGCGCAGATCTGAAGAAGATGAGGCGCAATATAACGATGCTGCGCAGAAGAGACAATGAAGAAAAAAAGCAAGGAGGCACTGTACGCGAAAGGGAATTTGGCGGACAGTGTCAACCAGTCCATGCAGTCAGCTGATAAAAAAGCGAAATATTACTGCGAGACTTGGGCGGCTAACAACAGCTGAGGAATCTTTCGGTGATCCAAAGGAGGAATTCTAAACGCGGGAGAATTTAGCGGGCAGTGATATATCGCCAACCAATGAAAACCCACATTTAACGCACAAAGATCTGGCGAGTAATGAGAGTTAGCCGATGAAAAAATGAGGAATTCCTAACACGAGAATTTAGCGGGCGGTGGCGACGTGGAGTGAGCCAATGACAGCGCGGCTCCGGCTCTGCTGAATACACCAATGCAATCAGCAATAAAGATGCAAATGGCGGCCATTATATATCATTACCAATCACCATTTCCTGCCACTTTGTTGCCGTAGGTTTGGCCTAATTATATTTAATAATACCAAGCCAAGGTGGAGCGTCTCACCCATTACCATCATGTCTGCCATATCTTACGGTTGCCATAGTTATTACGGTTGTCATAAAGTTACAGTAGCCATATCTAAGGTTGCCATAGTGCTACTTCTGTCATAGTTTTACGGTTTTCATGATGTTACAGTATTGTTATCATTATGGTTGCCAGAGTCGTTACGGTTGTCATAGTTCCTACGATTGCCATAGTTGATCCAGTTGTCATAGTATGAAAGTTACCAGTCCCTAACACGACCTTGCCATTAAATGGTGGCTACCACAGGGCGAATATCACCATCACATCACACCATATCACCACCAAAGTCACAAGTTGCCATATTGCCATCATTATAAGTACAGAATTCAACGGCAATTAACCCACTCAACTCACCTACAGCGTTGCCATGAGGACAGATTTCCACCTTAATTAACCTACCCACAACGTTGCCGTAATCGTCCGCGGGGAATATGGCAATTACGACCCCGGAGCCACATGTTGCCATAAAAACGCGGGCATCCACTCCGGGGTCATTAAGGTATACTACTAATTATATCATTTGTCCCATAATTGCTCGCTCTTAAATAAATGCATCGTCGCTTTTTTATAATGTTTCGCATTAATTTTACCTCCAGGTGTGTAGAACAATCTGGGAGGAGGAGGAGGAGGAGGAAGAGAGTGTGAAGGAAAGAAGGAGGTGAAGGAAGACTAGGAGGAGAGTGTGAAGGAAAGGAAGGGGTGAAGGAAGACTAGGAGGAGGAGAGTGTGAAGGAAAGGAAGAATAGGAAGAAGGAAGAATAAGAGGAAAGAGTGTGAAGGAAAGAAGGAGGTAGAGGAGGAGGAGAAAAGAGAAAGGAGGGATAGAAAGAGATAGAAAAGGGGGAGGATTAGGAAGAGTATAAGGACAGAAGAAACAAGAAAAGGAAAGGGGGGAGTGAGGGAGGTGGAGGAGGAGGAGAAGGAAAATGAGGAAAAATAAATAAGGGAAACAGAACGGAAAACAAAAACTAAAATAAGGAAAAATAAAAGAAAAAAGACGGAAAACTAAAATACGAAAACAAAATAAAGAAAAAAAAAGCAAATAAAGAGAAAAAGATGAAAAATGGAGACGGAAAAGATAGAAGGAAAGAGACGGAAAGGAATAAGCAATAACATGGGAAACAAAACAAAAACAACAAGAGAAAATGAAGAAGAATTAAAGGAGAAAGCAAAGATGCATTTCCGAAGTTAATTTCTTTAATAAAACCAAAATTCGATAAAAGACACGATGCAATATGTAAACAAACAACTAACAACCTCAACAAACAACACTCAAACAAGGTAGTTGGCTCGTTAAGCTCAGTTACATAATTATCACCTGAAAGACTATGCACCCAATTACCAATTAAGGCGACTGATTTAATCTAATGTGTGCTGTGCTGTGCTAACCTAACCTAACCTAACCTAACCTAACCTAACCTAACCTAACCTATTAGGATTGTGGCCCTTTCCCTGCCATAGTCATATTAGTAAGATTGGGGCCTACTGGAACGTTGGACTATTAAGACTGTGTTCCTTTTAAGCATGGGGCCTATTAAACTGTGGCTATTAAAACTGGGGCCTATTAAAACTGTGCCTATTAAAACTGGGGCCTATTAAGACCGGAGCCTATTAAAACTGTGCCTATTAAAACTGGGGCCTATTAAAACTGGGGCCTATTAAAACTGGGGCCTATTAAAATTGGGGTGTATTAAGAATGGGTCCCTATTAAAACTGGAACCTATTAAGACTGTGTAGCTCTTAAAACTGGGGCCTATTGAACGTCTATAATGCTTGTTAGAAGCTAATGTTTGTTAGAGGCTGGTGCTTGTTAGAGGCTGGTGCTTGTTAGAGGCTGGCGCTTGTGAGAGGCTGATGCTTGTTAGAGGCTGATGCTTGTTAGAGGCTGGTGCTTGTTAGAGGCTAATGTTTGTTAGAGGCTGGTGCTTGTGAGAGGCTGGTGCTTGTTAGAGGCTGGTGCTTGTTAGAGGCTGGTGCTTGTTAGAGGCTGGTGCTTGTGAGAGGCTGGTGCTTGTTAGAGGCTGATGCTTGTTAGAGGCTGGTGCTTGTTAGAGGCTGATGCTTGTGAGAGGCTGGTGCTTGTTAGATGCTGATGCTTGTTAGAGGCTGGTGCTTGTTAGAGGCTGATGCTTGTTAGATGCTGATGCTTGTTAGAGGCTGGTGCTTGTTAGAGGCTGATGCTTGTTTGAGGCTGATGCTTGTGAGAGGCTGGTGCTTGTTAGATGCTGATGCTTGTTAGAGGCTGATGCTTGTTAGAGGCTGGTGCTTGTTAGAGGCTGATGCTTGTTTGAGGCTGGTGCTTGTTAGAGGCTGGTGCTTGTTAGAGGCTGATGCTTGTTAGAGGCTGGCGCTTGTTAGAGGCTGGTGCTTGTTAGAGGATGATGCTTGTTAGAGGCTGATGCTTGTGAGAGGCTGGTGCTTGTGAGAGGCTGATGCTTGTTAGAAGATAATGCTGAACTAATCAAATCTTTATTATTATTATTATTATTATTATTATTATTATTATTATTATTATTATTATTATTATTATTATTATTATTACCCTCTCAGCGAGGTCTGTATGCATCGTGTGAAGGAGAAACAAGATCTGGCTGCTGTGGTCTGTATAAGCCTCGGCACCATCCTCACCTTAATCTTTACACCTTTAAGTTATTTACCTAACTCCATATATAGCATGACGTTATCTAAACACTATGTCCTTATTCTCAAATTGGAAGCAGTGCCCCCTTGACCTGCGAGGCAAGACCGAGAGCTAATATAATAAGAGAGATTATGGAAAGAGATGTGTAACCATGCAACCAAATAATACCCCGTGGTGGCCTGAGACTCGACTAGGGTGAGGACTGGCGTGTGAGACCTTGAAAATAGACGAGAAATATATCGAATTCTATTATAAAAATCTGAATATTTCATACATGATAGTTTGTACAAGTGAATTATACTGATTATAGTTAATATGTTATGGGGGAAATTATAGGAAAACACCTGTATGGCTCGTGGATGAAGGCAATAACAACTCTCATAACCAACACGTGGTAATTAATGAACTCAACTGTGGAGAGCGAGTGTGGAAATGACCCTATTAAGCTACCACCAACTTGAGGGTCGTTTTCCTGGGGTAAATTGAGTGATTAGCTAACTATAACTCTAGGAGGAGGTCCCTGCTAACTACCCCTTGACTACCAATTGCCTGCGGGTGGTTACCTGGGCTAAATTGAATGGTCACCTAACCATGAACCACTGATGGTAGGACGAACCACCAATAGCTTCCCATTACCCCTTAACTGCCAGATATAGAAGCTAACAAAGATCACTAACGACTAATCTAGCATCTTAACTGCCTGTTGGAGACTACTAACAGAGATATCACCAGGCTTTTAGCACCCTAACCACTCCCTTAACTACCAGTTTGAGGCGGCTAACAAAGTGATCAGAGCAAGAGGTGGTGGACCGCCTGGTGCACCATCTGCCGCCCCAACAACAACGACGTTATTTTTTTGTCCCAGCTAACCACACCAGCCAATTAGGGTAGTTAGCGGGTCCCGTGTGTGGGTGGTCGCCATGGTAGACGACCCACCTGTCATGGTAGCCGCCTCAACTGTTATGGTTCATGGTGGCCGGCATGCTGCTCTGGTGGCCGACTGACCTCATTAATGGTGGATCTCTCATAAGTTATGTATCCCGACAGACCTCATCGTGGTGCCCGACAGACTCATCATGGCAGTTCATGGACCCTTCATGGTAGCCGATAGACTCCTATAATGGTAGCCGACATATCCATCATGGCCTCCCAACATGAATCCCGACAGACCCATCATGGAGCCCGACAGATCCATCATAACACCCGACAGATCAATAATGGCTCCCGACAAACCCATCATGGAGCCCGACAGACCCATCATGGCTCCCGACAGACCCACCATGAAGCCCGACAGCTCCATCATGGAGCTCGACAGACCCATCATGGAGCCCAACAGACCCTTCATAGTGTCCGACAAACCCTTCTTGGTGGCCGACAGACACTTCATGGAGCCCGACAGACCCATCATAGCACCCGACAAACCCATCATGGCTCCCGACAGACCCACCATAGCTCCAGACAGACCCCTCATGGCTGCCGACAGACACATTATAGCACCCGACAGACCCTTCATAGTGTCCGACAAACATTTCATGGTGGCCGACAGTCACGTCATGATACCCGACAGACCCTATCATAGTGGCCGACAGAAGACTTAAGCAAATGTGAAGACTTCCTGTATTTAGTTACGTCATCACTGTTACGTCATCATTGTTACGTCATCACTGTTACGTCATCATTGTTACGTCATCACTGTTACGTCATCACTGTTACGTCATCACTGTTACGTCATCATTGTTACGTCATCATTGTTACGTCATCATTGTTACGTCATCATTACTTTGTTCAGTGACTACACATGTAAACGCCGCAGCCTCTTTATCCTGAGAGACAAACAGAGGAAGAGGAGAGTAGAGAGAGAGAGAGAGAGAGAGAGAGAGAGAGAGTCTACCTGGCCCACCGTCCACGTGGTTACCAAAATAGTCAATATTTACCCACACGGCATCACAGGTATTGGACAGGACGTAACTATGAACTGTTTTAGTCCGGATAAAAATCCTCATGGAAAAAAATATAGCCACAAAATTATGTAGAAAAAATCGTCCAAATGATGAAGTTTATTGAAGCTCAAATAACCCAATTAGGTTAGGTTAGGTTACGTCAGGTTAGGTTAGGTTAGGTTAAACTGGGTAGAATTTTGTCCAAGTGATGACTGTGGGTGAGCACGAGGAGAGGACCCAGCAGTGTGGTGGAAGGTGTGGTGAGTGAGGGGAGGGGACGGGGTGAGGGGGGGTGTGGCGAGCCAGCTGGCACGTGGCACTTGTCGTCATAAAAACAGTAAACAGTGACACGTGGTGGCTGGCCCTGGCACTCACACGCAAGGTGAAGGCCGACCCTCACACCTGTACTAGTGACGTTACCACCTGCACCAGTGACGTCACCACCTGCACCAGTTCATAAGAACATAAGAATGGAGGAAACTGCAGCTGGCCTATTGGCCCATACTGGGCAGTCCCATTTACACCCAACCCCTATTGCTCATATATCCATCCATTTGCACTAGTGACGTCACTATCAGATACATGACGTCAATACGTGATATATGACGTTAACCGAGGTAACATTATGAGATGTTCTTATTAGCACCATGCTATTGTACTATTCCAGATGATACTAAATGTTACATAATACTTCCTTGAGATAAATGTATAGTATATATCAGGTGCCTCAAAGAGAGCTCAGGTTCTAACTGGCTCAGCCATGTTAATATTGTTATTATTATCCACTCTGTATCGGTGTTCTTCTGGCGAAATAAACTGTTTCAATATCAATATCTTCACTATAACTGCAACAGTGGCGTCATTAACTTATATGACTTCACAATCTGCATTGTGATGTCACCACCATCTATTGTGTATACCACCAGATGGCGTCACCGCGTGTTGGGTGCACTATTAGCTGACATCACCAGAGAACACCTTAAGTACACTGCCAGGTGACACTATCAATGTACACCAGGTGTCTAGGGCGTTAACTAAGGTGTACGGGAACAGGTAAAACCAGTTGAGGTGGATTAGTGACTGTTGAACACCCGAGTCTCCACAACACAGGTGTGGCAGAGGCAACCCCTTGTGCCACATACTGGTAGTGGAGGGAGAGAGGGGGGAGGCAGAGATGGAACGAGAGAAAGAGGAGTAAGAGAAGCAAGGAATGAGGGAGGGAATGAGCGTCTACTGACTCACACGAGGGGAGGGAGAAGAGAGGAAGGAGGAAGAGGAATAAGTAAGAGAAAGGGGGGTAGGAGGGAAGCGTCTCCAGGTTCACACGGGGAAGGAGGGAGGGAGAGAGAAGGAGGGAGGAGAGGGAGGGAGGGAGGGAGCAGGTTCACACGGAGGAGTTTTCTGGTCGGACGCCCGCCATTACCTGCCGCCTCAGATATTCAACAGCTCATTTTCCAGGTGGCGGCCGCGATTATGTCGAGGGAGGGGGTTAATCCCTCGGGGGGCGGTGAGATGGGGGGTATCACGATGAGGGGGACGGGGAAGACGCAGCTGAGGGGAGGAGGCACCGGGGTAGGGAGGGGGGCGAAGTAGCCAAGAGCGGAGGAGTAGTCTGGAGGGTAGAGTATAAGAGGAGGAGGAGGAGGCTCAGAATACCTCTCCATTAGGGTCTTAAATGACAAGACAGACAGACAGACAGACAGACAGACAGACAGGCAGGCAGACAGACAGACAGGCAGGCAGGCAGACAGACAGGCAGGCAGACAGACAGACAGACAGACAGACAGACAGACAGACAGACAGACAGACAGACAGACAGGCAGACAGACAGACAGGTAGATATTGAAGAAACACACAAATATGACCACTCGATTTCTCAACACGTTATCCATATAAATAATTAAATAAAGAGCGAACCCGTAAAACAAACCTCACTCAACTTCACCTGGAAACAGCCACCACTAAACTTCAACCACAACCCGGAAAAATAATCATCACTATAACTTCATCAACAGAACTGAGGAGGAATCAAATATGTTTTAATAATGTTTACATAATGTTTACACCACCTGACCTCACGAGTAGACGTAAAAAAAACTCAAAATAGGGACAAAAAAAAAACCAGTTGATCCCTATATGAGTATCTATGACTGGTGCTTGGTAGGTCATGTTTACTCCTGAAGGGATATTAACACCGGGAATGACTTGAGATGGTTGGAGGGGTGGGAGGAACGTGGATGGGAAGAGAGGAGAAGGAGGAAGAAGATATAGGGAGAGATGGTAGAAGGAGGGATGAAAAGAAGGTGGGAAAAGGAGGAAGAAAGGGTAGAAGAAGGGAGGATGTAAGGTAAGGGAGGGAGGGAGATACAGTAGAAGAAGGGAGGAAGAGAAGGTTAAAAAGTTGAAAGAAAAGGAGGAGGGGAGGAAGAAAAGACAGAAGAATGGAAGAAGAGACGACAGAGACAGAGGAAGGGAAAGGGAGAAGAGAATGAACACGAGAGAGAGAGAGAGAGAGAGAGAGAGAGAGAGAGTTCTCGAATAAAGACTAAGGTACAGATACAAACATGAACTTATATCAAAACCTTTCTTTAACTACATACGCTCACATAACACAAGAGCAAAAACAAGATCCAGGAGGCTTTTCTTAATAATCCTGTACTTGAATCTGAATATAAGAGGAATTATTCATTATAGGAACCAGTTTTTATGAATCCGGATCTTAATTGTACGAACCTTTGTTATGAATCCGGATCTTATTTGTACGAACCCTTTTTTTAAATCCGGATCTTTATTATACGAACATTTTTTTTATGAATCCGTATCTGAACCCACACATAAGAATCAACAAACTCGTATATCAGACAAGCTTAACCCAGGATAAACTAAGCCAAATTTCCTAAACACACACACACCAAGCCCACGTACAATCACGCCCCCACAGCAACAACCAAACCCACGCCCACGCCCCCATTCCACATATACCATCATCATCGAATTTCACATAACAACCTGCGACTCCCCACCAGCCACTAATATACTAAACGTTACGAGCACCCCAGTGAGTAGGTAGTCACACACTCACAGTAAAACATAACTTCATAACTTGTTGATGGCTGGTGGTAGAGAGAGGGAGGGAAGAGGGGAAGGTGTGTGTGTGTGTGTGAAACAGTTGTGTGCTGGGGGCAAGGGAAAGAGAGGGAATGGGGAGGGAGGGGGGGGGGGGGGGGAGAAAGGTGGGAGTTAGTGGGTAATTTCGCATTCATGACCGAACCCCAGTTGGTGATATCCATGACTAAACACCCATGCTTAAAGCGTTAACTACCCCGCATGTGTAATAACCCTATACCGGAATTTTTCCTCAACAACTTCCGCAAGCAGCCATTGACACCACCGCACCAAACCAGTCTACTGCAGAAGGGAGAGAGAGGGAGAGAGGGTCGGGAACACAGAAACAGGTTGTGGTAATCCTGGCGTTTACCTGAGATTGATTCCAGGAGATTTGTCAATTAACCATTTACCTGAATACAACTCTTCTTCTTTTTTTACCTCTCCAACACCCGGTACCCCAAAAGGCAAGACCCCCACAACACCTGCGGCCACCAGTACCTGAAGGAAGTGTTGTTCGTTGTATGTACCCGCCGTTGCTGGTAGGAGGGGGGGCGGGGAGGGGAGAGAGGGGAGGGGCGGGGTGGGGTGGGGCGGGGTGGGGTGGGGCGAGGCGGGCAGGGGGCTCACAATACCGTCAAGGACCATAACACTTGATGGCTTTTATTCCCCGGATTACTGGGAGGAGTTACCGGGGTACTAAGGGGAGCTACTGGTACTCTGGAGGGAGCTACTGGGGTATTAAGGAGAGCTACTAGTGTACTACGGGAGCATCTGGCCTACTGGTATACCGGGAAAGATACTGAGCTACCGGTATACTGGAGCAGCAGGGGTACTAATGGGAGCTGCCAGTATACTGGGGAGCAACCGGCGTACTAAAGGGAGCTACCGGTATACTGAGGGGAGCTACCGGTATACTGGGGTACTAATGGGAGCTACCGGTATACTGAGGGGAGCTACCGGTATACGGGGGAAGCTACATGTATACTGGGGGAGCTACCGGTATACTGGGGGAGCTACCGGTATAATGGGGGAGCTACCGGTATACTGGGAGAGCTACCGGTATACTGGAGAAGCTACTGGTATACTGTGGAGAGCTACCAGTACTCTGAGGTGGCTACCGGTTTCCTGGGGAAGCAACCGGTATACTGGGGGAGCTACCGGGATACTAAGATGAGCTACTAGTTATACTGAGGAAAGCTACTGGTATACTAAGGGAGCTACCGGTATAGTGAGTGAGCTACCGGGGTACTAAGATGAGCTACTGGTTATACTGTGGAAAGCTACTGGTATACTGAGGAAGCTACTGGTATACTAAGGGAGCTACCGGTATACTGAGTGAGCTACCGGGGTACTAGGATGAGCTACTGGTTATACTGTGGAAAACTACTGGTATACTGAGGAAGCTACTGGTATACTAAGGGAGCTACCGGTATACTGGGTGAGCTACAGGGGTACTAAGATGAGC